CTGAAGGTGGGGACAAAACAAAACCCCACATTATTGTCTGTTCAAAGTTAATTTCAACTCTGTTTCTGATGAAAATAGAAAGTTCTGTTGACATTCTTACTAACTTGTTAGCGCAGCATGTTGTGATCACGTGAGCGCTACATACTGGATCCAAGCGCTGCTGGATAGAAACACTGGAGCGGAGTCAGTGAACTGCTGGAACGGACTGCTAATATCGGAGCGCTTATATCGGACATTTTTTATGCAGGCCGATAAAATCCGATACTCGTTTTTTGGCTGATATCGGACCGATATCCGATATCGATATCGGATCGGGACACCCCTACTTTTTATGTGAATTCTTGTTCAGGTTTTGCTTAGAATTGACGTTAAAGTCTGTAAAACTGAAACCACGAATCAGAAGGTACTCTGTATGTAAGAGGACGCCGTAAATGTGGAAACGATCTTCAACCGAGGACGATGTCACTGTGTGACCTGTAGTTTTGGTTAAATGTTAAATGGACTGTATTTATAAAGCACCTTTTCTATCCAACCAGGATACTAGAATCACTTTACACAACAATCTGTGTCCTCATTTCCCCACACGTCAGAGGCAGTGAGGGGTCAGAGTCTTCAACATGTAGAAGGACGACTCCCGAAACCACTCAGCCACAGCAAGAGTTTATGAAGTTAGCATGAATGCTAAAGTGTTTAACAAARCATTAGTCTGCCCACCCCTGCCTGTAATGTTTGATGGTTCTTCTCTCTTCGTCCTCTTTAGGGATGTTCGTGGAGAACGTCCTCACTGAGGTGAAAGGTAGAGCTGCCCTGGTGGCGATGGACCCAACAGGAAGTGTCACTCTGCAGCGGCTGCTCCAGCTGTCCAGCCTCCAGCAGGTGGGAGCGGTGCTGCTCCAGCTGGGGGGAGAAGCAGGCTCTGGGTTTAAGGCGGTTTCTTGTGACCCGTGCGGGGGACACGTAATGGAGGACGCACTCAGACAGATGTCCAGGTGGAACGGTAAGAAATCAGTCTGATTTGTTTTTATTTATTTTTTTATGTGTTTGCTTATGTTCAACTTGATTCTTGCTTATAACTCTATGAAAGATTAACTGCTGTGGTTAAAGGTCCCAGGTTGGACAAATGTGAGTTTTATTATATTTTATTGATTTTAGAAAAACTCTGAGAAGCAAAACCTGAAAACATGAGCTGTGAAAATGATCTGATAGCAGCTACAGCAGCCAACAGCTCTGGAGTGAAACAAAATTCATGTAAAAATTAGGGGGAAAAAATAATTTAACCTCCCTGAATTTCATTCCTGCAGATCCAATCCAATCCAACCTTATTTGTAAAGCACKTTTTGCACCACAGCAAACCAAAGCGCTCTACAGAATCAACATTCCAACACAGCTCATGCATAAAACATAATCAATCWTATTCTGCAGATACATTTTAATATTCTGGCTGTAAATGTTATAGCTTCCTGCTGCCACAATTATTTGCCTCCAAATAATCTAACTATAATATAACTCTAGGTAATCAAGCATACCTGACTTTTTTTCCAAGGAGGACAAATTTACCTRCTATCCTAACAGATCTGCCTGCTTCCTGTGAAGGTGAAGTTATGTAATAAATTATTAAATGTTTAAGTATTATGCGTTTGGGACGTGAGCAGATCAGTGCATCCAGAGAGGTACCAGAACTGGTTACGCCCACCCCTCCTCCCTAACTAAGCCCCCACCTGCCCGGGACATTGGTACCTAAAGTCTAATGTGATTGGAGCGTCATCATCATYGCACACACAATTAGATACAGTATGTATATGATGTCTGTCTTTACGACAGAGTATTAGGGCCACACAACAAGATTTTTTTTTAAATTACGAGAATAAAATCATAATATTACGAGATTAAAGTCATCATATGATAATAAAGTAATAATACTGCAACATTAAAGTCGTATGAAAATAAAGTCATATTATGAGAATAAAGTTGTAATATTAAAATATGAAAATAAAGTCATATTATTATGAGAATAAAGTCATAATATTACGAGATTAAAGTCATCATATGATAAAAAAGTAATAATATTGCGATATTAAAGTCGTATGGAAAAAAAAGTCGTATTATGAGAATAAAGTTGTAATATTAAAATATGAGAATAAAGTCATATTATGAGATTCAAGTCATAATATAAGAATAAAGCCGTAATGTTATGAGATTAAAGTCATTATTATAAGGATAAAGTTGCAATATTACAAGATTAAAGTCATAATATTCTAAAATTAAAGTCATAATACTATACCCTTTACACAAAAAAGCATGCAGTTACCACTGCATTAAAATGAGGAATGTTGAGCAACTTGTCAAGTTGTTCTTTAGTAATGCTTAAAATAAATATCTTTTAGCACATTAGCATCAAATTATCAATAGCAGGACTTGGAAATTGTGCAAACGACTATATGATAAACTGAAGCTGCATTGTAATTAATGGATGCATTGACAGATTTAGTCGTCACATAGTTAATTTGGATGAAAGCGTATTAATCTAACAGTGACCCAAGTCATTGTGGACTACTTTATAAACAGATACATGGCTGTACACGGCAGGTGCGAGGAAAATAAGGAGGAAATGAGGATCGGAAAATGGACACATCATGTAAGATTATGATTTTTTTCTCATAATATTACAACTTTGTTCTCAGAATATTATGACTTTATTCTCATAATAATAATAATAATAAAATCTCGTTGTGTGGCCCTAATACTCCGCCGTATGTCTTAGATAACAAGTAAAACAATAATTTTGTGTCAGTCTCGGCTGCACTTCTGAGCTCTTCCTGAAGGGGACGTGATGAGGTCAAACTCATTAAAGAATTCAGAGCTTCAGTCACTAACAGTTTGTTAGGACTGAAAGAAACCAGCGAGATGGCATGTTTCTGTGTGTTTCATATTGCTGCAGAAACACAGACAGATTCTGCTGCCACCACAGAAGAAGAAGAAGAAGAGCAGGAGGGCAGCGAGTTGTTGGAGGCCCAGGTGTTGTCTTTGAGTAGGGCGGTCAGAGGCAACGTCGCCGACTTCATCAGACAAGTTCACGGCTCACATGTGGTCCGCACTCTTCTCCACGTGCTKGGGGGCTGCATCGGACCACCTCGCACAGAGACTCGTCCAGGTGAACACACACTCCCACACAAGAACCTGTCCAAACACTGCAGTTTRTTATTAAGTAGCTTTGACACTTAATTTATAGTTGCCTGTTTTAGTCCCGRYTCAATATGTTGAAAGTGTTCAACATGGTTTAGGAAGTGAGTTTAAATCATAGACGGTTTTATTAAGTCTAGTATCAAGAAAAATGGATGAGACCAGCGATGAGGATCAAACTGGACACGACTGCTCGCACAATCTAAAGCTGCGATGGACAAWATTGAAGTAATAATATTGGACAACAGTCACAGGTGGTTCTGACATGGGAAAAGTAAGACTTTTATTAGAAAACAAAAGGGATGAAGCTCTAGAAACGCAGGAAGCAACAAAAACTCTCCAATAAAAATGATGTTTTTCCTCAATTTGTGTTTGATTTATCTTATTGGCCACATTTCATTAAGTCTATAATCCTTCTTTACATCCATGGGCTTAATAATTTATCTACCAGGACTGTCTCCTTGCAGTTTTCCCATTTATGCTTACAAGAACAAGCATCTCATATTTCCTCATCTCATATACAACTTTTTCCTAGTGAGTTCATCCAGAGATGATGATCCTGAAACAGAGAAGTTTTTAACAGTTTTAATGTCCTCATTGAGCAGCAGTAAACTTGCTGACAGAGAGATCGTTTTCTTCCAAAATGAAAGATTTCATTCTGCTTTTTATATCTAACCACTCATGTCATTTTYCCCCCAAAAAAATCCAGCACAAAAACTAATATAAGGTTTTTATGATTTTATCGCTTGTTGGTTCAGGCTGGAGGTTTTAACTCTGGGCTCATGTTTTTTGTTTTTCGACAGGCAGAAAAGATGGCAGCCGTGCTCCCCAGCTKACTGACTTTGAGATCCCCACGTCGTTCTGGTTCGAGCTGAAGAGTCTCACAGAGAGCTTGATGGAGAACATTAACTGTGAGTC